CAGTCTTGTTTTATTTTTCCTCCTTCCTCTCTGAGTACTTTTCTGGCACTTCTTTCATAGATTTATTTTTAGTCACAGTTTCTTAAACACAGTCTATGCTCAGGCACGGTCCCAGGCCCTGTGTTTTTCTTTCTGTATACTCTCCCACTGGCAGGTCATTAATCCTCAACACTTCAACTACAATAGAAAACATGATCAACTGTTAAAATTTGACTTATCTTTCTTGAAATTTACAAATTTGTGAAGCCCAAATGTGAATTTCTGAGTGAAGCATTCATAAAGAGCACATCAGACACTTCAAAAATCTCTTTATATCAATATATAACCAGAGAACAGAAAAGAATGATCATAAATACCATTTTAAGTTGGTATCACGTTTTAAGTCAGTCTTGGGGCCAGCCCAGTGGCGTAGTGGTTAAGTTCACGTGCTCCACTTTGGCACCTCAGGGTTTGCTGGTTCAGATCCCAGGTGCCAACCTATACACAGCTCTTTAAGCCATGCTTTACTAGTGTCCCACATACAAAATAGAGGAAGATGGCACAGATACTAGCTCAGCAACAATCTTCCTCAAGCAAAAAGAGGAAGATTAGCAACAGATGTTAGCTTGGGGCCAATCTTCCTCACCAAAAAAGAATTTAAATCAGTCTTTGTTTTTCACAACTATTTTGGAATGCACACATTCCAAAATATCTAAAATATCTTTCCTCCAGACAATACAAGAAGTTTTGATTTCCATTCTGTCTAGCATCATTAAACACTCATCTCAAAAGACATTAAAATAAATACTCCACATATCATTATTTAACAAATGTCTTAGGTAAATCAAGAGTTGAAATTTGTTCATATATGAACATGGTAATTCACTGACTCATTAATAGAAGACTCTTTCCTCTTTTTCAGTAGTAGTAATAGATTGTTACTACAATAATATCCTACATTTGTGATGCCTTACACCCCTCAAGTACTTCCAGGTTGTCTATCCTCCGAAGATTCCAGTGAGAAATGAGGAGTACAAATTAGAATCTCCATTTTATTGTTTGGGTATTGGGTCACAAAAAGTTTAAGTGACTTGTTCAAGATCACATAGACAAACCCCACCAGAATCCAAATAGGAAAACTGCTCTCTCCTGTTCCTAAAGCACAAGACACTGAAAATCTGCATATAGTCTCACTCCTATGATCAATACACAATATATCTGAGAAAAACAATAGTGTACTGCAGAACATAAATTTTAAAGTGCTGTCCCATTTTACAGGTAAGGAAAGGTGAGACCCAGAAGTGTTATGACTTAAGCAAGTTCAGAGAGAGAGAAAAACTATTGTACAACCAGTCACAGAAACACAAAAGCCATTGCACAACAAATTTAAACGCTAAAATTTCGTTTGTATGGATAATGTAATTATATTTTCTGTTTTCTAGTGTCTTCATCAGCTTCTGAACACATTTTATGGTTCATTTTTCTTCTCTAACGTTGAAGTTGAATCTTCCCTCTAACACTTCTCAGAGCTAATTTCCAGAGAATAAAGTGATGTGAGGTGAGCTATTTAATGAGGTCGATCACTTAATTTCTTGTACTATTTTGAGGTAACTGGGTTAATAATGACTTTTTAAAGTCTGTCCTTTATAAACTTCTTTTCCCCTTTTGTAGAACCATTGTTGGTAACACACCAGTAACATTTGAAGTGAACATAAGTTCATGAGTGGATATATCCCGCCAAATCAAAGACAGTCTAATATTCTCTTTAATATCCCTTCATTATGACATGTAGTTGATGTGGGATATATCTATAAAACATTTTATTTCCATTGGTTTCCAGATCTTTGGTTCACTTTAATCTCAACTCGTCTTCAATGTATATGCATACTTATTACTTTGAGTTCATAAAATCTGGCTTCTGGATTCTTAACAGCAAACTGAAATATAATACAGATACAACCATGTGAGAAGAAATTTCCAAAGTCCTGCGCAAGTAATAAATGATTTTTTAAAAATCTCACAAGCAGCAATAACACAAAAAATGGAAATGTGGTAGAGAATTGATTAACCAGTTTTCAGCTTGTATTTTGACATGTAAATAATACATATCTGGTTTTAGTGTACATTTAACCTGTAGGTTTTTAAAAGTTAGAAATTTAAATATATATATGACTTTGTAGTAGTAAAAAAGATGGAGCAAGATCTAAATTTCAATCTTGACTTCCCTGACCTCGCTAAGACACTTACATCTTAGCTTCAGTTTCTTTATTTATAAAAATGGTAACCATCAAGTCCATCTGGAAGGCCACTATAAGGATTAAATATGATAACAAATTGAAGATTTCCTAGCATAGACATGAAAAATAATAGATATCTTTCATTTTCTTTCTTACTACATCTTTGCTTTTATACTTCTCCAATAGAACTATATTTATTCTGCTTATGTATCTTAAATTTTAAATGCATGTAATGAAATTTCAACTTTGTTCCAGTGTAAATCTTGGACAAGTAAGGAGCTTGAACTCATTGCTCCCATTTCAAGCGCAAAGGGTATGTATTTTCAGTTTGTTCTTGTTGGCCCAGAGAAAATACATTTATTGATTTGCCATCTTCCTAAATTCTATCTCACTATGTTCAAGATCTTTTTCATATCTTTGTCCAAAAACAGAGTCTTTTCCTTAACTTTAATTTATAGCCATACCATCCCATTCAGACATTTAACCTATATATTTCATAACTCAATATTCTATAGCATAACACCAAATGTTTTTCCAGTAATTCCTTTCCTGTGAAAGTCACAATACAAAACAGATCATAGGCATCCACTGTCTGGAAAAACTAAGGTGTTTGTACCTGACCACATCCTAAAACTCTACAAGTAAATGGAAATCATGGTTCTCACTGACAGTTACTATTTCCTCCCCTCATAATTAACATCCTTCTTTGAAAATCTTGCCTGGAGCTCATACCGTTAGAACAAGTAATCACAAATGACACCCCACCTGGAACGAGGTGCTCAACGATTTAGAGATTTGTGATGAACCACACCCTCTCTTTGGGGCCCACAGATCTGCAAAGCTCTACTGTGGCACTTCTTCAGTTTTCTGGAAATGAAAGTAATCCAACTACATCATGGAACACTAGCCCATTCCACTTACACTGGAGTGTAAACTTGCTCAGCATTAATTGACTAATTTCCACAATCAAATTCCATATTTTTTGAATTGCACATTGTAATCTAATAGTGGGTACTGAAATCAAATTAGTGTGTTATAAATAGCCTTTTAAAAAGTGAAGGAGAATAGAATAATATGGAATGGATTGAAACAAAACAAATTGAAAGAAAATATCAGAGTGCGTCACATGCAACAGGGACAAATATTAAAATATTATTTTGTGAAACTTTTGTTTGATTTATGTGTTTGAGTATGTGCGGATAAGCATATGCCTGGGGGTGATGTAAGAAGTATTCCTTATCGTGGACCACAGTGAAAAATCTTTGAATGTCACTGAACTGGTGTAACGGACACAGATCAGCCACCCAGATGTCGCTTCAAGGAAGGGCTTGTTGCTCAGCTGCTGAAAGTGCTGCCATCAGACACCTTCAGCTATCAGCCCCTTCAGGGATTGCCTCTCCTGCAGAGAGCCACCTTGCACCTCAAATAAGGTCTCGCCCTTCCTAGGGTGTCCCACATACAACGGCTGACACAGAAAAAAAAACTAGCCTATTTCGTTCCAAACCAAGACAACTCTGAAAGGTCATTTTAATTTCATAGTTCACCATGGGGTCAGATCTCCACAGCAGTTCAATTTCTCCCTCTATCTAGTCCCATTTCCTTCCTCTCTCTTTTACAGATGTTGCTCCCAAGGCACTCCCTAATAAACATGCCAGGCAAGAAACTCCACTTGAGAGTCTGCTACCCAGAGAACCCAACGTGTGACATCTAGTTGAGGGAGTAACAAGTTTTGTAACCAAGTCAGCTGAAAAGGCGAAGCATATAATAAGCAAAGCATCTTGACATAATACATAGTGTTTAATTTTTCAATGGAACGGCAAATTCAAAGGCTAACATTAAGACCATACTCTGTTTACCCTATTAGCTACTGATGCATTTCATCAAAATGAGCACACCCATTTATTGACAATGGTTAGCTCATTTCTATTTTTTCCTTAACTTGCACAGCTGTCCTATCTCAAATGAAACATCCTGAAGTGGCTGTGAATAGTGCTTCATTTCTTTTGCCAGCCCTACTCGCTTTCATCTCATCTTAGCAACTCTCTGGTTATTCTTGCTATCCTTTGTCTTACAAATATGCCCACATCAATGCAGCTGAGGAACAGTGACAAAACCATTAATGCCTTCTATAATGGGGGGCAGGGTGAGAAGGGGGAATAGAGGGTATTAACAGTGAACCATGCTAGTTATTTGTGTTAAGTATTATCCAAGGAGAAACTTTGAGAAAGCTGTTTAATAACTGGGCTGTGTTTTCTGGGGCAATCAAATAAAATTCTCACAGCAGGTGAAATATTCTCATAGAAAGTTAGCTTGTTTTCTAGAATAAATATTGGCAACACAGCCTTATTTAATTACTCTGACTGACTAATTCGGTCAGATCAGTAAAAAATAAAAGCACCTAATGGTTTTTGTTCTTTTATTTATTTATTTTTAAATTAAAATATTTGTGTTTATCAGTTATCTTGCTGTCACACAGGATATTTCTAACATCTTGATCCAACTCTGAGACTTCCAGTTTGTCTTCTTCCTCAAATATGTTTGAACGTATGTCTTCCAGGTAGGAACCAATGGTGGTAGGTGAGTCAAATGTAGGGGATCTTGTAATCTTTTATAATGTAATCTTTTTTAACAAAAGATGAAGAAAAATCAAAGAATTTTTAAGTAGAAAAATCCCCAAGTAAGGACATTAGCAGAGTGCATGTAAACTTGATAAAAACATGCATCTAGCTCTTAATATTTCAGTCAAATATAACTATTGCATAAATTCCAGCAAAGACTGGCACGTTCACATTTCTTTCCATTTTATTTCCATGGAAAAATGATGTTTATTTACTACAGTCTCGTCTTGTTTCTTTAAGTAAGTTGGATGAATAGGAAGACTGATAAGTAGCAGTGAATCTGTTGTACTTTCAATAAAATGAGGTTTATCTTCTTCCATTCTTGGAATACACTCAGAGGGGAGATGGAACATCAGGTAGGTTTGAAAACGGGAAACGGAATAACGCATTTTGACCTGAGCTGCCAGCCACCATATGAATGAATTAAAGGAAACAGCTGCAGCTTGAGGTCTCTCAATAAAGTGATGCAGGGGTTCCACATGACCTGGCATTCACAGTGTCTCGACGGTAGGACAGAGGTCTTTGTTTCTCATGCATTTTCTATGTGGGAATGTTCCCCTAGCTTTTCAGCCTCCTCCCAGTCCTGTCACTCTACTTTGGAAGTGCAGCAATGGTGGCTGCCCGAAGTGGTGACATCCAAACAGGGCCCCCATCTGCCTTTTCTTTCACGCTAGAAATAAAGCTGTTATCTATAACAAAATGACTGAAGAGGCTCAGAGACAGATTGGGAGTCGGAAGGAAGGCCCTTCAAAGATTCTCTTGCAAATGGGGCTGTAAACTCTCATGCAAGGGCGAGTTGTTCCCATTGGAAGCCCAGCTCCTAGGGGCCTGTACTCATGGAGAATGAGAAAGAAGGGAGAATTGCAGCATGATTAGACTGAAGCTGTATTCATATCCTCACCAGTGCCTGTCATAGCCAGAAGAATCACATGTTCCAGATGAAGGACAGTGAGTAATATCCATTCTGTTGAAGGTCTGACCTCTAGATCAGACATACAACTTCAGGCTTTTATCATAGAGACTTTTCTTTTATCACAAGACCTCTCTGTTTTCTTGAGAACTTGGATTCAACAAAGCAACCAAGACTGCAGACGATCTATTCCTGCAGCTAGATACCCACACTGAGGACGAGAGACAGTGTTTTCACAATGTCATTCAGTTACTCTGATGACAATTGAGTTTCAGGGGGTGGTAGGCTATTGCAGCTAATTCTTTCAAACTCCAAATTTCAAGACACTCTACATGTCAAAAGGGAAACGTCTGGGACTCTCTCAGGTGATATACCTGTAGGTGCTCAAAAATAAATACAAAAAGAATGAGAAGATCTAAGCAAAAAACAACTAATTCAGTCATATTAACTCTAATCACACTATCTGAAATAAATTATGATGTCTTGTCAATGAGTGGTAAAACATTCATACACTGGCGGCTATGAGAGGTAGCATTATAAACTCATAGAGAACAAATATTTTCTGCCGTAATTTGATTTCTAGAATGTTTGGCACTGGTACTGGTGTGAAGTTGTCATTTTGGCTTTTGGTCACATTTACACTCTTTTTATTTGATATCTAGATTCCATCCCTCGGACTCTTTCAGTGGTTTTCTTTAAGGGCTTTCCAAACAGTTTAAATTAACCATCCTCTCCAAGAGAAAAGCTTAATCCTTCTCTAATTTTATGAACTGAGTGTGAACTGTGAAAGTAAATGATGTTAATTAGTAGGACAGACTGGGAATAAAAGGGGCAGATGAAAAGGCTCTTTTTTTTTTTTTTACTCTTTCATCCCCCATTAGTCACTTTCCTGTGAATGCTTTAGTGTGTCTCTCAAAAGGAATTTTCAGAGTATGTGACTTCTCATTTTTCTACTTCTGTAAATAGCAAGCATAATCCAGACTGGACAATTCCCATCCTCTGTATTGTTAAAAAAAAAAGAAAAGTAAACCCTCTCAATAATATTAGGACAGTTTCTTTATTTACAGAGTATACCAATATTATTTAGCTCAGGAAAAATACTATGAAAGAGTATATTTGTTTTCTTTAATGCATAACAAATTATCCCAAATCCTAACAACGCAAAACAATAAACATTTGTTACCACACACACTTTCTGAAGGTCAGGATGGAAGTGGCATACCTGAATGGTTCTGGCTCAGAATCTCTTGGGAGGTTGCAGTTAAGGCCTAGACCAGGGTTTTAGTCATCTCAAGGCTCCACTGCGGCTGAAGGATCCATTTCCAAAGTGGTTCATTCACACGGCTGTTGGCAAGAGGGCTCAGCTCCTCACCACGTGGACCTCTGAATGGAGCTGTTTGATTGTCCTCATGACATGGAAGCTAATTTCCCCTAGAGTGAGAGTACAGGAGTGGGCAATGCCTTTATGACCTAGTCCTAAAAGTCACACACCATCATCTCTGCCACATTCTCTTTGTTGGGAGCAAGTCAGTTAGCCCAACCCACACGCAGGGGGAGGGCTGTTAGGTTCAACCTTTTGAATTTGTGGACATAGTTAAAACCACCAAGGAGGGGAACCCTATGTGAAGGTCGGCTGTCTCAGCAATCTCATACACAATATCTCGAATCTCCATCCAAAAGTAAGGACCCCTCAAAAAGCAGACGAATTATTCAGCCATACAAACAGAAGGAAATCCTGACATATGCAACAGTATGGAGGAATCTGGAGAACACTCTGATAATCGAAATAAGCCAGCCACAGAAGGACAATTACTACATGATTCTGAAGCCAGGTACCTGAGGGTTACTGTAAATATTCAATGAGACCTTGTTCCCAACAAACATAGTTGAAAAGAAGTTAATCTTGTCAATTTGCTGTTTTCTTGTTTAACCTGAGGGGTGACTCAAGGGTCACAAGGATTTATGAGCTTGTTTACAGAAGAAGAAGAAGAAGAATGCCTTCAGGGATCACCAGATAACCAGCCCTGGAAGTCAGATTGCCCAAAGGCTTATAACCCCTTTGTTTCTATGAAATTTCTGCCAAGCCCCTTAGCTCCAGAAAGCCCCCTGCCTTCTTCTCTTGTTAAGGCAGATGTGAGAGAACCTATCCTCCTGTCTTCTTGTTTTGGCCAATTTGAATAAATCTTTCTCCATCTCCAAGCACCAGCACACAAGCTTGAGATTAACAGGTTCAGAGTCAATTCTACTTACGTTACTAGTATTAAGTAGAATAGTCAAACTCACAGAAGCAGAAAGTAGAAAGGGCATTGCCAGGGACTAGGGGGAGGGGGAATGGAGAATTGCTGTTCAAAGGGTATAAACCCTCAGTTACGCAAGATAAGTAAGTTCTAGAGATCTGCTGTACAACATTGTGCTTATTGTTAACAATACTGTAGTGCACACTTAAAAATCCGTTGAGGGTAGATCTCATGCTATATGTTCTTACCACTATAAAAATAATTAATTAATTTAAAAAAAAATAGATGGTTCACAATAAGTCACTCTAGGCAGTTTCCCTGTGGTTATATAGAGTTACAGGCAACTTGTTACATATGCTAACATTTCCAGATGATTAAATTTTTGAACATTTTTAATTAAAGTCATTACCTTGACCTACCAGTTGAACTTAGTGGAAAGATTTTCCAATGAAAATTCCATCATATAGTCAGTTTTACAATATAAATATATTAGGTTCGTTTTACCACCATCATGAATTACCACAAACTTAATGGCTTAAAACAACAGTCATCTATTATTTTACAGTCCAAGAAGTCAAAAGTGTAAAGTAGGTCCACAGGGCTATTTCTTTTGGAGGCTCTAGGAGATAATCTGTTTCCTTGCCTTTTCTAGAAGCTACCTACATTCCTTGGCTTGTGACTCCTGCCTCCATCTTCAAAGCATCATCTCTCCTCTCTAACCCACTTCCCTCTAATAAGGATCCTGTGACCATATTAGGCCCACCCAGATAATCCAGGATAATATTCCCATCTCAAGATATTTAATTTAATCACATCTGCAAAATTCTTTTTGCTCTGCAAGGTAACAGATTCACAGATCCCCAGTATTCAGACATGGAAAACTGTGGGGGACCATTATTCTGTGTACCACACTGATTTTAGGAAGATAGAGTTCAATTAAATTGTGGAAAATACCCTGACAGACTTAGTTAACACCATATGAAAAAGACTTACATTAGTTTGACCTATCTGTTAACACATTAGCAGTGACAAAAATGATTGATTTTATGTACAGAGATCACAATTGGCCTACTTTTCCAAAATCAAGCCTTACGCAGCTGGCAAGTCACATTTGATTTCAATACTTGTTTATAGTTAATATCTTGGATAAATCAGAATCGAAACCTGAAATATGTGCAGGTAATACTCTCAAAAGGTCAGTTTCTTTCATCAGTGGTTCCAATCCCACATTCTTATCTCAATCACCCCACAAATGATGAACAAATACAAATTGCATTGAGAAATGTTCATTTTGAAGTATATGAAGTTTACCAAAGAAACTCTCAACAATTTCTTTTGAGACAAGAAAAAAGCTTCCCGTACACATAGAATAATGGAACTTACAGAGTGTGATGGGACCTAGGAAATTTGAAAATAACACAGTTCTTCTCTACCCTCCATGCCCACCCCACACTCGTCATTTTACATAGGAAGAGTCTAAGAATCAGAGTTTAATATGCTCTTAACCTCTTACCAAAGCTAGTTAGTGACAGAGCTTGGCTTAGACGCCAGGTCTTCAGACCCAACCCTTGACCCAGTGTATTTTTACTTTATCACACACCCATCACAAGCCCAGATTAATTCCTTGTTTTAAAAAAATGTAATGAATGTGTGCAAAGGCTGCGCATGGCAGTGGACAATGGTAGGAATGGCTGCCACGTATTGAAAGCTTAGCATGTGTTGGCTTCTATAACAGATACCTTTAAATATAAATTCTATTCACATTTTATCTCAACAAGGTAGGAAGCATTACTCCTGCTTCTAAAATAAAAAATGATAACAGACTTTTAGAAAGGTAAATAAACCTGACCAAAGCAAGAATGATAGGATGTGGCCTGGGTCTTTCCTTTGAACAACAAAGCTACAAACCACTTCTCACTACATTCCTGGAGAAAGAATACAGAAAGACACAAGCTGAATAAGCAATTTCAAAATGTCTGTGACACAACATTATGAGAAGAGATTCCTACCAATTTCATGCATTAAAAATTACAAAACTGTGTAGTGTTAATACATTCATTTCTTCATTCAACAAACACTCATTGAGTGGTCATTATGTACCAGGTGCTATCTGTAAGATGTGAAAAAGATAAATTAGATACCACTCTTTTTTAATAAATAAATCATGAAATTTTAGGTAATGATATGTGATATTTTTTAAGAATCATATAATTTCAGCAGGGTAGGAAGGGAACAGAAAGTTGTAGAGGAAAGACCTCTCAATAAAGTAACATTTGAGAAGCAATCTGAATGCTGTGAAGAAGATAAACACGAAAAGCCTTTGGAAAAGAGTGAGTGTGCCAGGCAGTGAGAAAAGCACTGTAAATATCCAGATACAGGCAAACCTTGACCTGTTTAAGGCAGCGAGAAATCCAATGTAAGCTCAAGCCAAGTGGGCCAGGGTAAGTGGTAGACATTAGGCAAGGGCTTGTCCATATGTGGTCTTGTAGGTCATTGAAAGCGCTTTGGCTTTTACCCTGAATATGATGGGAAGTCTTTGGAAAGCATGGATGAGGAAACTAAAATGAATGGATTTACATTACAAATATGTTGAAATCTGCTACATGAGGAACACATTGTAGGCAGGCAAATATGCAAGTAAGGTGACCAGTTAGGTAGCTTCTGCTGTAGTCCAGGCAAGAAATAGCAGGGCCTGGGATGAGTCAGTAATGGCAGAATGTACAAAAAGTATTTCAATTCAGAACATAGCTTAAAGCCAGAGCCAAAGAACTGGCTACTGGATTGGGTTGGACTATGAAATATAAAGACGATTACTAGCTTTTTAGCCTAAGCACATGGATGAATATAAATATCATATATTGAAGTAAGGAAGAGAGGGAGAGGAGCAAATTTTGAGGTGAAAAGGCAAAGTTCAAAAGTTCTATTTTACACATGTTAATTTTGAGATGCCAATTAGATGACAAAATAGAATTAAGGAATAAACAAATAGAGGTAGGAGTCTGAGACTCAAATGCAAGGTCAAGGAAGGAGATGAAAACATAGGATCATCAGCATTAAATGGTATGAAAACCATGAGATTGCATGAACTCAAATAGGAAGTATGGTTAGGAAAGGGAAAAACACTCCAGCATTTAGAAGCTGGGGAAAGCGAGAGGGCCAGTAAAAAGATCATGAAGGAGCAACCAGTGGATTTGAAGAAAATGGTGGGAGTTTGATGTCCCATAAGGCAAGTGAAGAAAATATGAATAAATATAAAAGAATTTTCCTTCTTTGGAAAGGCACAGAGGACACAGCAGAAAGATCACAGGAATTAGGGAGACTGGGCCATATTAGGGGTGGAATATCGGTGACCTGGGTAGCATCGACTTCTGGTGGTACCCAAGGCAATACAGACTGTGTGTTAGTGGAGGGTATAACATGTTTCGTTAAACATATGGAAAGATTATGCTCTATTTCTAAACAAAATTGAATTACTCTGAGTATAATTATTGATTTTTATCATGAAAAATCCCAATTTGTGAAATGCTTAGGAATTGTAGTTTTCTGGTTAACTGAAAACTACACATAGCTGCCAACCAGCATTTCAACTTTCAAATTATTCTCAAATATATCTGTGCTTTGGAATTCAGTGTACTTGAGTATATTAAAATGAACATGGGCTAAAAGATTTTCTGAATAGTATTCTCATGTTGAATAAGTATAGGCAGCAGTTACACTGTGGACCACCCTTACATTTATTTTTTTTTTTTTTTGAGGAAGATTAGCTCTGAGCTAACATCTGCCACCAATCCTCCTCTTTTTTTTTTTTTTTTTTTTTTGCTGAGGAAGACTGGCTCTGAGCTAACATCCGTGCCCATCTTCCTCCACTTTGTATGTGGGATGCCTGCCACAGCATGGCTTGACAAGCAGTGCATAGGTCTGCACCCAGGATCTGAACTGGTGAACCCCAGGCCGCCAAAGCAGAGCATGCAAACTTAACTGCTGTGCCACCGGGCTAGCCCCCAACCCTTACATTTAGACACAGGAAAAGTCTGATTAACATTAATGTGTAGGAAAGCCTTCAGACAGGAGAAAATAATTCAAACTAGTTCTATCAGAATAAATTCTGGTGCCCAGAAGAAAGGGAAGCAAATTCTGACATGACCCCTTTGCCTTGATGATACCAAATGGCTGACAGACTGGTCTGTGCAGATGTTCGCAGATCTTTTTAGCACTAGTTGGAACTGTTTTATCTGATAAAATGACTTGGTAAAGATACAGATGCCAACCACCACCATAGCCCTAAGTAATGGCCCTGAGGATCAGAAACTAGACTAAAGGTGAGGTGACAAAAAGTAGTGCCAGGGTGGTTTCTCATGCCCTACGCCTTCTTTTAGGAGCTTTTTATTTTGTAAATTGTCCCCTATTTTTCTCTATAAGGAAGTAAATAATAAAAAAAAATTAGGAAGCATATAGGGAATACCAATCTCTGCTTAATATCAAATATTCTTACATTTTCTTAGACCTTAAAGTAGAGTATGAAAATATTCTCTAGTTATGCATACAGCACAGCTTCATCTGGGCTTTTAGTCAATTAAACCTCCCAAATCAGGAATCTCTCTTTTCCTGTATAGAAGGAATTTATACAAGATTAAGTGTCACTTCAAATAACACCAGTAATGCATAGTAGACATCATCGTGTTAAGTCAAAAAGTATAGTTATTTTCCATATAGTTTAAAACTGACTATGTTGTAAACACAATTATAATTGAAAACGCTATGGTAGTTCTATCAACATGTGAAAAATACAGTTATTTTCATGTCCTGTGAGGTTGAGTTCTCTAAAATTTCGTAAGATATATATAATAGTGTAATTTATAAGTAACATAATGGTCAAT